AGAAGGTCTAACAAAACTGAAGTTCTCTTATTTCCTATTCTTATATTATTTTTTTACTTTAGAGTAGCTAAATAAGCCTGTCATTTAGATAAGACCATCTTCAAGCATGAGAAAGAAAAACAGATCAAATAAGACTAAGAACATTTCTAGTCTTAAAAGTCACTCGGCACTTTCTAATCATTGGCCAATCATGATCCATTCTCTAAATCACATATATAATCATTAGCCGTAGAAAGTAATCGAAACCAAGATCTAAAAAGTTAACATAGAAGAGTGAAGTCCCACTGCATCCCTCCAAATTCAACACAAACGTCTAAAAATCATAATAAATTACAGGAAGCCTTGCTTCTAAAACTCAATGATAAATCACATAAATTACAAGAAAACTAGTTTCTAACCTTTATGAGGATCAAGTAAGTTCCAAAATGCTCACGTCTTACGTATCTTTCAGGTAGCTCCCGCTCCGTGACACCCATTGCCTGAACTACAAAATACACCCAAATTGCACAAGCAAAACGAGAAAGAAAAACAGATCAAATAAGACTAAGGACATGTCTAGTCTTAAAAGTCACTCAGCACTATCTAACCATTGGCAAATCATGGTTCATTCTCCAAATTGTTATATTGTTATACCTATATGTAATCATTATCAAAAGAAAATAAACGAAACCAAGATCATAATGTTCACAAGTGAAGTGCCTAATGCTTCCCTCCAAATGTAACGCTAACATTGAAGAATCGGAATAAATTACATGAAGCCTTCGTGAAAGCCGTTGCCTCTGTCTGCCTCAGAAAAGCAAGGGCCAACTCCTAAAGTTCAATCATTTCCAGCACAATCAAGTAATCAAGAAAATGGGTACCTCGCAAAATCAACTTCTCGAAAGTTCAATAATTTCTAACATAATCTACCCAACCAAACTAATGACATATCCCAAAACTCAACTTCTTAAAAAGTCCAATCATTTCAAACACAAAAATCTGCAGAGTCATGTATATGAGTATATCAAAACTCAAATCTCTTACCTAGTTCAACCATTTCTAACACAATTCAAGCAAATCAGTATACCCCAAAACTGAAAACTTCACTACACTAACCTTCAAAACTAAGACCCTTAAAAGTGAGCATCGTAAAAACTACAAAACTTACGAGCTTCGATTTCTGAAGTCATCCTCTTTGCTTCGCTCTGTTACAGAATGAAAGAAAAACGGGAGGGTAGTCAGGGAAATGGCAGACTTCATTGATGGGGAGGCCAAAAACCGGGCGGGTATTCGGGCTAATTTGAACAGACTTCGGCTTGTCGGGTTTCAATTGAATTTTTTGGTCCAAGGTTCGAGAGAATTAGGCCCGGTTCCTTTTTGTTTCATTTTGTTTTCTCATACTTTTTGATTGAGTTAATGATCTTAATTTTGAGGTATGACATGAGAACAAAAATCTCTTTTAAGGTTTTCGAAATAATAAAAATATGTTTACCGCTAAGTTTTAAGTGTTAAAATAAATAATAGGAGGACAATTTGATATATTTATTAACTCATAACAATGTAAATGGATAATTCTGTACATTTACTAACTTATAACAATATAAATTTTAACACTTCACTAACAATTTATTAACCATTTAGGAATTTTTGTTATTTTGAAACCTGAAAGGAATTTTTGTTGTTATATCATACTTCACAGAAGGCATTTGGATTATATAATATTTTATTATAGAGGTATATTATATTAACGAAAAGAAAAATCATCTTGAAGATTACTAGGAATGTTTAAAAAATATGTTTGGTTGGGAGGATAAATGGGTGGGTATGTTATATAGATTACTAAATTACCCTCCTTTTTAAATATTAATATAATAATATTTTATTATTATTATTATTTATTGAATCATTTCTTTTAACCCCCTACATTTGAGATTTTGTTAAAACACCGTGACCATATAAAACTTTAATTTGTAGCAAAATCGCCCCCACCCACCCCAAGTCACTGCCGGCAGCCAGTTACCTCTACTGGCAATCGACGGAATGGCACACAACTGGTTGTGTATCAACAAAGCTGGAAATGGCCATGGATCACAAATCCATGGCCGGAAAACGGTTAGATCTATGGTATTTTACAACCAAAGATGTGGCCATGAAATGGTCACAGATCTAGCTGTGAAAAGGCCAAATCTTTGGTCGTGCCATTTCACGACCAAAGATCTAGTCGTATGTTAGATCTAGCCGTTTTCGACTATAGATTTGTGATCTATGACCGGAAAAGGCCTTACCAGTGCACGACCAGCCAGATCTCATCTGTGCACCATTACAACGATTGACGCTAGCGGCCGACAGTGGTGAGTCATAGTCGGCGGTGGTCTTGGGTGGCTAGGGGTATTTTGTTAACTTTTAAACTTTTTTATGGTGGGAGTGTTTTAGCTAATTTCTCAAATGTAGGGGGATAAGCTATTTATTATTTGGTAAACATTTAAGGGCAATTGTGTCCGAAATGGTTTTTAATTAAGGGCAAAATGGGAAGAAAAATCATATTACCCTGGTATTGTTTTAATAAACCCATAACAAGGTAATAAAATGACCTCCCACATTACCAACAATAAATACTATTTGCAATAAAAGATTATCGTAATATTTTATTATTTGCAAACTAAACACAAGAATCTTACAAAATAAACGAATATTTCCTCTGTTATCTTATTTACCCCCGATCCAAATGGCCCCATTGTTATTTATGTCTTTTTTAATTTAAAAACATGAGATATTTTCACAAATTATTTTCATTTTCATAATATAAATGAATAAAATAGTTAAAAGAGTTTTATCTCGAGGAGGTCTTGATAAAATAACAAAATTATTCTAAGATCTCATAAATAATACAAATTCTCCTACCGTTGGTATACTGTTATAATTTATAGTATAATGATTTAATAAATATTTACCTAATTATTTTTTTACCGTTTATTTTAACACTAAAAACTTAACTATAGGTAGATTTCTATTATCATTGATAGAATTTGAGATGAGTTTGACTTCTCACCCAATGAGGTTTTGTGAGTAGGAGGATTACCCCCTCTTATAAATTAGTAGGCATAAACGTGTCTAGTTGGTGTGAGATTCTAATAATTACTATAATCAAAGCAAGATTTAAAAAAAAGAAAAAAATTATTTTTGGGATTTTTTGTTAACCCTAGTTAAAAATATATTCTTTATCATTTTATGTAAATCAGTGCAACAAATTTACTTCCATTTTATTTCTTTTCCTTCTTTACGTAAATCAATGCAAAATATACTTTAATTTTCATCAACTAATCCACATTTTTTACTTTGTGTTATATAAGTAAGAATTACATCTCATTTGTGTTTTCCACAAAAATATATCAGTATATTTTTATAAATAAAGTTGTACAGTATCATTGTCCATATATCATTTTTTTTGGAATAAATTAAAGGATGGTCCGCATTTGTATAAGAGATTCCCGTTTAATTTTCAGAAAATTTCAAATTCTCTACAATATCTTTCTGATCTTTTGTTAATTTATGACATTCTTTCACAAATAAATTGAAGGATTCAGTACACTTGCGCAAGAAATTCCCCTATACTATTTTAATAAGTTTAAANCAGCTCCATAATGGCCAAGAAACTCGTCCAATACTCAGTGGTAATCACTCTCTCTCTTCCATTTCTCATCACTTACACAAAAACACCAGCTTTTTACATTGATTTTACTTCTTTCTGCTCTGGTTGTATCTCTCTATCCGCAGGTGGATGCATTCACAGATTCACCCTTCAAGGGCAACCCAGCTGCGGTTTGTTTGTTAGATGAAGACCGGGACGAGGATTGGTTACAATCCGTAGCTCTCGAGTTCAACATCTCTGAAACCTGTTACTTGACTCCCATCACTCACTCCGAGTCCGACTCTCCTCCCAGGTTTCGACTCAGATGGTTCACCCCTGTTGCTGAGGTCCGTTTTCTTTCCTCAGCAACATAATTTTCTGCTGTAAATTTTACATTAAACAGTAATTTCAAACACAATCAATCCGTACCCTTTTCCTTTTGCAGTTCAAACTTTGTGGTCATGCAACGTTAGCAGCTGCACACTCTCTCTTTTCGAGAGGCTTGGTGAAATCTAACGCGATTGAATTTGAAACACTTTCTGGAATTCTCACTGCCAAAAAGGTTCCGGATTTGGAGGCAAACAGTGTCTCTAACGGTGAAGCACAAGAGTGCTATTTTATTGAACTGAATTTTCCTACTGTTCCAACTACCGACTTCAACTCTGCTGAGGTTTCTTCAATTTATAAGGCCTTGAATGTTTCTACAATTATTGATATGAAGATAACTACCTCAGAGGACATCTTTGTAAGCCATCTTGACCCTTCACTCTCTGATTTTTTTCTTCATTCTTCATCATATTTTAGTAATTGGTGAAAATTTATTAGGTGGTACTTCCATCAGCAAAATCTGTTGTGGAATTACAGCCACAGTTTTATGACATACAAAAGTGTCCTGGAAGAGGCATAATAGTTTCAGGGCAAGCGACATCAGAATCCGGATTTGATTTTTATAGCAGATTCTTCTGCCCAAAATTTGGCGTCAATGAGGTAATATCTGTTGGCATTTTGTGTTAGGTGACTCTTTGAATGAATAATTTTATGTCATATGACTTCCATTGCCATAGAAAATAACATCTACCTACTTTTGTGAGCTTGGACTTCTACCAAAATGTTAAATCTTGACGATAGTTATCTAATATAACTTCAAAATCTGATTTCTGTTAGAAGTCTGCAAATCTATATCTTTATGCCACTTCTAAGAATGAACATATTCGCTTACTTCACCAATGCAAAAGAATGTTTCACACGGTCACATCTTGGCTAATCCATTCTAATCTGAACCCAAATCCTAGTTTTGTTCGCACGACATTTCCCAGATTTGGAAACGTGGTAACTAAGATGAAACAATTATCTGGATCAACTCTCTATAGATTGAAATAAACCTAATGAAAACTTATGTTTGGTTTCTTGTTTGTATTAGGATCCTGTTTGTGGAAGTGCACATTGTGCTTTGGCACCTTATTGGAGTCGAAAGCTGGGGAAGAATGACTTTGTGGCATATGCGGTATGATCTCTCCCTCTCTTAATTATCAACAAACATATATTCATTGTCAACATAAATGATTGTTACATACTGATCTGTATTATTTTCATGACTCTGCAGGCATCGTCTAGAAGTGGAGTCTTGAACATACATTTAGACGAGCAGAATCAGAGAGTGCTGCTTCGAGGGAAAGCTGTGACTGTGATGGAGGGCTCTCTGCTAGTTTAGATTTGAAAAAACTTCTGTAATGGCATGTATCAAATTGAATAAATGAAAAACATTTTTTTGGAATAATACTCTGGAGTTTCAATTGAAGAGATTGAAACTCCATTTCATCTTCTTTGATACCTTGTGCAAGACATAGTTTATATGAATTTCACATCATTTGGCACCATTCTCTAACTTTAAATTTGCTGGTCATCTGGTTGGTTTGTGAAATTCTTCTCCTCGGTGGAAACTTAAGACTGCTCATCACATTGACACCAGAAATGCCATGGCCTACTTGCTCATCGGAAATTCCAGTTTCAATGAGGTTATAACAAGAAGATAACATGAGGCCAAAACCAAAACTTAAGTAAGAAAAGCTTAACTGAAAATGAGTAATCAAAAGTCATTTAAGTTAGCACCAACGACTCGATCTCCTCTCCCCAATAAATTCCAAAAACGAAAAAGTTTTCACAACAATCATCATTAAAAAGACTAAAGGAAACAACTAAGCAGGCGGGTGTTTACAATTTTCTTAGCCCTTTTTCCCTCTTTATCTTATTGTTGTAACCTCATTGAAATGGAAGTGATACTTAAACTCATCAGCCAGTGTAAAAACTTTTGCTTCAATGGGCTCTCTAGCCTCTAGGATTCACACCTATGAGGATTTTAGTTCTCTTTGACATGGGAAATTCTGATTTAATCATTTTCAGTTAAGCTTTTCTTACTTGAATTTTGGTTTTGGTCGGGTGGAAGTTTTGCTCAATGACCAATTTACGCACATCTCGACTAATGTTTTACGCCCAACGGGGGAATCAAACCTAAATAACTGAGATATCCTAACCAACTTGACTAATCCTCAAGGGAAACTATCCCATGGCAATCCACCGCCATGGCCCCCCCAAGTAAATCATTGACAAAGATATGTAGCATTTGTAGCCTCCTTGGTTCGCTCTTACCGTTAGGTTACCCAAGATTTTCTTTTTATTTAAAAAAAAAAAAAAAAAAAATCCTTTTGTACTGAAGGTAGAGTTAGAGACTAAAGATCAAATTTGTATGGAGCTAGAAATTGTGGGGAGGAGATGGAAGATATTTGTTAATTTGATATTCTTTTTTGTTTACCAGGGTTTTGATCCTGGTTTAATGGAAGATTTATGTAAAATTTGTATAGAACATATATGTAAAAATATGTTGTACTAAAGATATTTGTACAAATCTTGTGTTAAAAGATTTGCTTTAAAATTTTTATTTATTTGATATTAATTTTCGATTAATTATTTATAAGGGTAAGATTGGCATTTCAAGAGTCAAAGTGATCGGTGATTTGAGTAAAAAACTGGGGAAGAATGACTCAAAAAATAATTCAAAATTTTTACGTAATTAATTGTTAAATGCTTATTGATTAGATTATATAATTTACACTTTACCATGCAATGTAGGCATGATCACCCAGAAGTGAGGTTTTTAGATGAGGGGAATCAGAGGGTTTTGCTGCAAGGAAAAGCTGTAGCGGTGATGGGAAGGCTCTCTGTTAGTTTAGATTCTGTTCATCAACCTGGGCTAGGCTAAAAATTCTCTCTCAACAGTTCCATGAAACTTGTGTCCTAAAAATATATTAGATGGGTTGTGTTAAAACGGTTTCGTATCACGTTCATATATGTCAAATCTTCATTAAACGTAACTCGTTAGTTACTGTGTCTAAATATCAAAAGTAGAACACAAACTTTATTTAATGTGTTACTCAATTTTACGAGGTCTGGTTACTGTATTTACATAGCTTTTATAAAGTCATACAAAAAAATTCCACTTTCATGGAAAAATTATAGTCATTCAATGCATCACGATGATGCAACCAAAATGCGGATGTTCAATGCAAGTTAAAGTTCTTTCATGGCAATCATTTAGATTTACAGCCTATAAACGAATAACTAGCTGCGTAGCCAGATGTAATTTTGTCCCTGTATCATTTGCAGACGTGAATGCAAGAGATTTAAATACTAGCCGTTTTCTGAATTTCTTGCATACTGCCCTAAAGTTTTGTTTCTGCATCATGCTATCATTCTGTAGCTGAGACATGTCCGATCTTACCCAATACATGTTACAATGTGGAGTTCGGATTAGATCTTATTGGTACAGAAGGTTGCTTAACGTCTTGTATATTATGTTTTTAATGATACGTGTTTTTCTACTCTCTTATTATTCCTGCTATAGGTCACTGCATTTTGTGGTAAGCTATTTCAACACTGATTTTCTGGTAATTTTACAGGTGATGAAGTGCCACCATCAGCTTTTTCTATGACCAATTGGTGGAGAGGGGGACAAATTCAGGAATATAGACATGGAGAAAGAGTTATTTATGTTTCTCTTAATCATAAAATTCTGTCCCAAAATTTTAAATTCTGTATAGTTGGCAAGAAAGGATGTTGCCAATGCATGCATTCACTGACACCAAACGTTTGGTGTTATTTGATGTGTAATCTGGCCAAATGCTCCAACCCTCGCCATTTTTCTTTGTGGTAGGCTAATATTATTACCACTCTGAATAGCTCATCTCCAAAGAGGAAAGGTCATGTCAATGCTGAGAAGATAGCTGTTTTAAATGCATGGCATCGAGTCGATTGTAGAACAAGAGAGGCACTTCGCCGTAGCTTTCTTTCAGAACTGATTGAGGGCTATGAGGTATGGATATCCTTGCGTTTGTGCTTTCTCCTGTTTGTTTTAAATCATTTGATTTCATTAAGAAATGTTATTCAATTATGATTTAACTGTATCAATGATTTCTCTGATCTTAATATCCCTCAAGGTTCTCTTCTTTCTTCATTTTCAGTGCCAACCAAGTTGATATCCGTTCTCCTTATATAATTTTATAATCCAGAGTTGTTAACTTTTGTTGTTATTAGTAGCTGAAATTTCTTTTTGCTTACAGGATTGCATACGGACCTTCATTAAGGAGAGTGGAGATGGAGATGTGCTTGTGCTAAAGGTTCAAGATTCTTTTCATAGGTTGTTTCTGCATGGTGTCTGTGAGGTAATTTGTCCCCCCTATATATGATCTCAGTTTAAATGCTTCACTTCATGCCAAATGTGGAGTTACGCAATCAGCTTCCTTTAGAATTTGATGAATTAATAATCCTTTCTTGACACCTGGATGTGTTTTGCACAATGAAAATAGTTTTTCATGAAGAAATCACTATTCTATGCTGAAGATCATATAGCTGTCTAACATGTAGAAATTCTTGTTTTGAACAGTTCTACAATTTGGTCTCAATAACAGTTACAGAATCGAAGGATTCGGATTCAATGAAGTTGACAAATATAAAAAAGAAGAAAAGGGTTTCGCCCGAGCTCCCAAACATTACCCTGTCCCATTTTCTGAAAATGTCCAAGGAAGGAATCTGGTAAAAGTTTCGCTGGCCAGGGTTCTCTCCTATTCATGATGGATATAAATAAGGTTGTGTATAATAATATGATTTAAAAATATCAGCTTTTCATTCAAAGTTAATATTACGTTACTATCCAAAGCCTATTCTGGCGGCTAAAATTCTCTATGTTATTACCATTTGAACCTCCAATCTCCTCTCTATAAAATTTATCTTACTTCGACACCTGATTTCTCGTTGCAAAACTAGTGTTTCTTGTTCTTAACTGATTTCTAGTTAATTCTAACGGCTAATATTCAAGCAGTCATCATCATTCAATCCACTAGCCTCCACTTTACAACTCCTCTCTCATCGTAGCACCTGGTAACTCGTCGAACACCGACTGAGAAAGTGAAGTGTATTTTGAGTATTAATAGAATATAAACTTCGGGTGGGAAAGTGATATTTTGAATTTTTTCTGGTAAGAAAGTATCATTAAGGCAAACCTTAGTGGGAAAAAGTCGTTTACTCAATATATTAACTAAAAAAATTTTATTATTTTGAGTAGTATTTTTGAAATATTATTAGTAGGTAGAGTTGGGTGATTATTACGAGATAGAATTTAAAAATTAACAAAAAACCTCCTAGGTTTGCTAATTTAACTTAACACCCCAATATAAAAAAAATTTGTAAAATAACAAAAACATCCCCACACACACAGTTGCCAAATTCCAGCCACCACCGCCAGAATCTGGAGTTATGGCGCACGACAGGCTGTATCTGGCCAGTCGTTTACAGCCTGTCGTGCGCCGAGAGAACCTTTTCTAGCTAGATCCACCTTGGATCTGGCCATGTTTAGTAGTTAACGACGACCAAAGATATGGCCGTCGTTGATGGTCAACGACAGCCATGTCTTGGTTGTCGTTGAAGACCAGCTACAGCCAAAGATCTGACCGTCAACGACTAGATCTTTGACCATAGATCTAGCCGATAAATGATAGATCGACGCACTACCGGTCAGATCTAATCGGTAGTGCGTCATTATACTAGATTCTGATCACCTTCTGACGGTAGTGATCAGAATCTGGTAAATGTAGATGAGTATGGGTGTTTTTGTTAATTTCTAAATTTTTTTTGAGTGTTTAGTTAAATTAATAAAAGTAGGGGGTTTATATTAGTTGGATAAAATATAATAGTATTTTTCGAATAAAGAAACAAACATGTATTTTAGAAATAGTATTAATAGAATAGGAAAAAATAATTAAACAAAAGGGACCGGATGTACACGTAGTATTTTATATTTTCTTTCATATATATTCAATATACATTGGTTAGATTTTCTTATAGAATGGTTTCTTAATTAACAATCACCGTTGAATGACTCTAATCGTAGTTTTGACCATTTGATGGTTGAAGGTTAGTGATGGAGACAATGTTTGTTTGTATAATTACTTAATTAGTGGAGCATGTGGGTTGTACTTGGGAAGAAAGCAAAGAACTCCTACGTGGAATCTTATGCAATAAAATAAGACTTCGTTTCTTGTTTAAACTTTAAAGCCTGGCCGTGGCTCTTCACTTCCCTTCATACTCCACAACTCAGTACCTTTATCTCTGCCTAAAGTCAGCTCCATAATGGCCAAGAAACTCGTCCAATACTCAGTGGTAATCACTCTCTCTGTTCCATTTCTCATCACTTACACAAAAACACCAGCTTTTTACATTGATTTTACGTCTTTCTGCTCTGGTTGTATCTCTCTATCCGCAGGTGGATGCATTCACAGATTCACCCTTCAAGGGCAACCCAGCTGCGGTTTGTTTGTTAGATGAAGACCGGGACGAGGGCTGGTTACAATCCGTAGCTCTCGAGTTCAATATCTCTGAAACTTGTTACGTAACTCGCCTCACTCACTCCGAGTCCGACTCTCCTCCCAGGTTTCGACTCAGATGGTTCACCCCTGTTGCTGAGGTCCGTTTTCTTTCCTCAGCAACGTAATTTTCTGCTGTAAATTTTACATTAAAAAGTAATTTTAAACACAATTAATTCTTACCCTTTTCTTTTTGCAGGTCAAACTTTGTGGTCATGCAACGTTAGCAGCTGCACACTCTCTCTTTTCGAGAGGCTTGGTGAAATCTAACGCGATTGAATTTGAAACACTTTCTGGAATTCTGACTGCCAAAAAGGTTCCGGATTTGGAGGCAACCAGTGTCTCTAACGGTGAAGCAAAAGAGTGCTACTTTATTGAATTGAATTTTCCTACTGTTCCATCTACTGACTTCAATTCTGCTGAGGTTTCTGCAATTTATAAGGCCTTGAATGTTTCTACAATTATTGATATGAAGATAACAACTACCTCAGAAGACATCTTTGTAATCCTTCTTGACCCTTCACTCTCTGATTTTTTTCTTCATTCTTCATCATATTTTAGTAATTGGTGAAAATTTATTAGGTGGTACTTCCATCAGCAAAATCTGTTGTGGAATTACAGCCACAGTTTGATGACATACAAAAGTGTCCTGGAAGAGGCATAATAGTTTCAGGGCAAGCGCCATCAGAATCCGGATTTGATTTTTATAGCAGATTCTTCTGCCCAAAATTTGGCATCAATGAGGTAATATCTGTTGGCATTTTGTGTTAGGTGACTATTTGAATGAATAATTTTATATCATATGACTTCCATTGCCATAGAAAAATAACATCTACCTACTTTTGTGAGCTTGGACTTCTACCAAAATGTTAAATCTTGACGATAGTTATCTAATATAACTTCAAAATCTGATTTCTGTTAGAAGTCTGCAAGTCTATATCTTTATGCCACTTCTAGGAATGAACATATTCGCTTACTTCACCAACGCAAAAGAATGTTTCACACGGTCACATCTTGGTTAATCCATTCTGCAAATTCTAGTTTTGTTCGCACGACATTTCCCAGATTTGGAAATGTGGTAACTAAGATGAAACAATTATCTGGATCAACTCTCTATAGATTGAAATAAACCTAATGAAGACTTATGTTTGGTTTCTTGTCTGTATTAGGATCCTGTTTGTGGAAGTGCACATTGTGCTTTGGCACCTTATTGGAGTCGAAAGCTGGGGAAGAATGATTTTGTGGCATATGCAGTATGATCTCTCCCTCTTTTAATTATCAACAAACATATATTCATTGTTAACATAAATGATTGTTACATACTGATCTGTATTATTTTCATGACTCTGCAGGCATCGCCTAGAAGTGGAGTCTTGAACATACATTTAGACGAGCAGAATCAGAGAGTGCTGCTTCGAGGGAAAGCTGTAACTGTGATGGAGGGCTCTCTGTTAGTTTAGATTTGAAGAAATTTCTGTAATGGCATGTATCAAATTCAATAAATGAAAAACATTTTCTGGAATAAGACTCTGGAGTTTCAATTGAATTTGAAACTCCATTTCTTCATCTTGTTTGATATCTTGTGCAAGACATTGTTTATATGAATTTCACATCATTTGGCACCAGTCTCTAACTTTAAATTTGCTGGTCATCTGGTTGGTTTGTGAAATTCTTCTCCTTGGTGGAAACTTAAGACTTCTCATCACAGTGACACCAGAAATGCCATGGCCAACTTGCTCATAGGAAATTCCAGTTTCAACTTGCTCTTGCTCATTATTAGTTAAGCTTTTCTTACTTGAGTTTTGGTTTTGGTCGGGTGGAAGTTTTGCTTCAATGGCCAGTTTACGCGCACATTGACTAATCATTTGCGTCCAATGGGAGAATTGAACCTGAATAACTGAGGTATCCGAGTCAGCTTGACTAATCCTCAGGGGGAGCTATCCCATGGCAATCTACCACCATGGCCTCCCAAATAAATCATGGACAAAGATATGTAGCATTTGCAGCCTTCTTGGTTCGCCCTTACCGTTGGGTTACCCAAGATTTTCTTTTTATTTAAAAATAAATAAATAAATAATTTCCTCGATAGAGTTAGAGACTAAAGATCGAATTTTTATGGAGCTAGAAATTGTGGGGAGGAGATGGAAGATATTTGTTAATTTGATTATTCTTTTTTGTTTACCAAGGTTTTGATTCTGGTTCAATGGAAGATTTGTGTAAAATTTGTATAGAACATATATGTAAAAATATGTTGTACTAAAGATATTTGTACAAATCTTGTGTTAAAGGATTTGGCTTAAAGAGTCTATTTATTTGATATTAATTTGGATTATGTTCATCAACCTGGGCTAGGCTAAAAATTATATAGTCATTCAATGCATCACGATGATGCAACAAATATGCGGATGTTCAATGCAAGTTAATTGGCACACAATATTGGATTTCTGAATTTTGCTGGTGGAAACTAAATAAAAAAAAAATGAAACTCCTCCTGGATTCCATTTCATTACCAATAATTATTTGTTTTTGGCCGACTTTGTAATGATATTCAATGGTATCGGCCATTTGACTAATTCGTAATTTAGCAATTTGTTTATAGAAATTCCTGCCGGGATAGTACTCCACTTGAATTTGACATTTCGATGGCTCACAAAATCTATATATAACCAGTTATATCGGAAAAAATAGGGTTGACGTGGAGCTTCGTTAGTAAAGGATGGTCAGAGTTTAGAAGGGTTTTATATCGTCTAGGTGCAACCATGTCGTGCCTAACGCAAGTGGCATGGCTCCTGTCAATGTAGCAGGTGAGTGTCAGGCCAACAAGCGGCTGGAGATCGCCCACGTGTCAAAGCCCTGCTTTAAATAGAGGAAATCCCTCGTGCATGTGATCAATGGAATGCAAAGAAAAGATTTGCACGGTACCTACCCACTTGCAGCTTTCATAATCATTACCTTGAACTTTCCCACTATAAATAGAGGGATTCCCTCTCATTTGGGAGAATTAGCTAATTTTTATACTGAAATAACTCTCACTCTCTAAACTATAATTCAGCTCGTTGAACGCGATCTGATCACTCTCTTATTTATACAATAGCAGTAGACATAGGATTCGCTTGTGAGCATCCGAACCACTTTAAACATTGCTTCTCACCCATTATTCTACTAAATATTCCCATATCACGTGTGACCTCTAAAATTATTTTAACATTTTACACGTATGAGTAGTTGGTGTTAGAATCGAGCATTCCAATAACCCTTTCATTTATATTAAGACATTTTAGTTAATGGATAAAGTTAAATTAATTACGTGATTAAGCTAAGAAAACTTCATCCCTGTAAGCTGACATTATCCTTACG